CAAGTCCACATAACAATGACCATCCACATCATTTGTCGACGACATGCTAATATCGTCTTTAATTTTATTCTCACAACTCATCATGTGACTTGCAGGTCTGAGTGGAGAAAGAAAGCGATTATCCCGCTAAAACCAATAAGGACACCAGTGAATTCAAATCCCAGTTGTATTACAAAGTGGGATTTTTTCATCGCGATAGGATAGAAGAAAAAAGGGCTCTTAAAAATGTCTTAACTTTATTATTCTGATAAATCACATTCACGGCTTTGCTTTCTAGGTACACGATGGCTTCGACCCTGCCGATGATTTCTAATGAAGTGAAACAGGTTCATTACATCATGTTTAGCAACATACATTTGACAGAGAAAGACAGTTTCCTCTTGCATGCTCACAAATAGTCTAATAAAATACTCTATCATGACATGAAATGTAATACTGAAAAAATTCAGTTATTTTTGGGAGTCTCTCCAGGAAAAACTTGGCCACATCTGAACTCGGACTGTTCTAAAACAAATTCCACTAAAGAGATTTGCTCGAAAAGCAGTAGAAGTGTTTGGTTACCGGCTTTTATTTAATTTTCTTTTAAACGTTTCCTAAAAAAAGTTTTGCAGTTGTGCCTGAAGTTAGATAAAGTCCTGGAGGTTTGGAGCCAAATAAATACAAATGGCAATGAAAACGACATGACGAAAGGTTTAATTAGAAGAACGAAATGGAGCGGGTTTTCTATTACTGCATCCTGGCTGTAACTCATATGGCTCTGCATACTAATATGAAACCCCTTGTTTATTTCAAAACTGGTAGAACTAGCTAGAATAAGGTTTTTGGGAGTTTATCCATTTCCCCAAAAAATGAAGAAAAAAAGATAAAGCAACGTGATGGACATGGAAGAAAAAAAAGAATGATTTTTGAAAGAAGAACTGGAGAATAAGCTGAGAAGATGTGGACATGGCTCATCAGAAATGGCTTCACCCGGGTAGGGGATCACCCACACACCATTCTGAAATTTCAACAGAGGGAAAAGGAGACGTGCCTAACGTCTGCAATTACACCCTCGAGAAGTAGATTTCAAAAGGTGTAATCCCAATCTCTCTGTCCTCTCATTGGCAGTGATTTAGACGATCTGAAAAGGACATCCTTTCCCGCGTACAGTGCAGAAAAGCCGCATTGATGCAGAGGTCACATGAACTCACCATAAAAACATGAAAAATGGATAATTAGTAATCAATAAGAATAGTAATTAATTCCTAATTAGTTTTTTGTGATGTCTTTTCCCAAAATTAATTTATAAGCACCAAAGTGTCTTAGACACAGTGACTTAGTGTCAAGTATCATCAGTCAGATGACACTTCACTCTTGTTTATTATTACTCACAGCCAAGTGTGTTGGAACTACATTGGCTGATCTCTAATTTTTGTTGTTGTTTGTTTTGTTGTTTTGTTAGTGAATACTTTTGTTAGGATTAACTTGATTAAGTGGCCAGAGGCCTTCTCCAGTTTGAGTGCTTACTGCAGAAGCAACTGGCTAAAAGTTGGAGTTCTTATGATGTGTTATTTTCCCTGTGCTGATAAAAGAGGAAAGTCGGAATTCAAATCTTTTTGATCAGGTTTATAAGAAGAAGCATTTTCTACTTTTTGCAACATAAGGTTTGGTTAAATACACTTGAGCAAAGACGACAGAGATACATTTTCATAGCTCAGTGAATTCTGGTTATTCCAGGCTCCCTGAATCAGCATTTTTCATTCTCAGAAAAAAAAAAAACTAGAAATCTTCTGGGTGACATATTATCTGTCCCGTTGAAACCGCGTGATTCCAACACGTCAACATTTCATGACCGAAAGAAAAAGCATTTACATATCCACAATGTAAATAAATAAAGATTAATAAGTAAACATAATGAAAAAGCCGAAGACGAAAGACATTCAAATAAGGCAGTGATCCAAAATAAAACAAATACATACATGAATGCGTCGCCATTAAAATAGTATACATGAATCTAAATTTCAAAGGCAGGCATGGCTCGTATTTTCCACATTGTGATTTTATTATCTCATTCCTAAGACATGTGGACATATGGATGTTGGAAGCCTGAATAAGCTTCCTCAGGACTCTCTCTCTCTCTCTCTCTGCTGGCATGCTGAGTGCACACATTGTGTGCACCCTTTCTGTTTCTGTACATCTGTCAGAAATGTTAGTGTAAGAATTAAAAGGGGTAAGTTCCTCTCCTCCTTCCGTAGATGTCCACCTGTGAACCATTACCTCACAAGAATAGGTGTGCGCTTAAACAAACAGATGGTTGAGCACTGTGGAGTCACGCCACACAAGTTCCATTTGGTTTATTTGAAGACGTTAAAAGAAAAAAACTACAGAAGTCACATTTCCTAGACGCATCTGCATTCGGCTGAGTGATTTCTTTCCAGGGTAAAATTATATTTGAACTGAATGGTGCATGTTGTGCATATTTTGCCACTGCCCGTGGTCTTTGATCTTCTACACTGGCCAGCTTTGGCTCTTCCTCGCAGTCTAAATGCCAAAAGTTAGCATTTAAGCTAATTGTCTGGTAAAAGGTCAATAGGCATTTCAAAATGAGACACATGGTGGGTGTTTATTAAATGTGATGGAAGCTGCTGGTGTTTAAAAGAGCAGTCCCGGGCCCAGCCAATGTCTTGCTCCTTAAGGGATAGTTAGTGAAGTCCATTTATGGCGTGTTGTCACAGACGTGGACAATGCTGTCTGAGCTATTCTTTTTCTCTTGGCAGTGACTGTAAAGACCACGTCAAGGGAGACGGTAAATCAGGGAATACAACGGTTTTGTATGAAGAAAAAGGCAATGAAGGTCCACAAGTTGTTCCAAATGGCTCAACTATTAATTTGATGCATTATTCTAAGGGCACCCAGATGAAAGGCAAAAAAAATGCATGCTTTTGACAATTATCACCATAAGTCTAAATACCCTAGTTTCTAGCACATGCAGCTAATAAGAAATAGCACGTTTATAATGTGTACAGATGGAGTGAAGATGTCTCTGCTCAGAGCATCTGCCACACCACTCTACACCGTACATGCGGTCAAGCTACAAAAAAACAGTTTACGTACATTTAAAGTAGCTTACAATGATGGCGTGAGAAAATTATTAAAGAGACCCTAAGGGAGTGATGCTCGTGAAATGTTGCAGGAGTCAACACACAACTGTCTTAACAAATCTCATGTCTATATTTATTTTCCGGCTTAGTGACTCTAACAATGAAATCTTTTTTTTTTATTTTTTTAAACACATTAGGCTCCATGTTGCACGCTAGCAGTCCCAGCTGTGGAGCATGTGGTCCAGCTGTCTCTTTATTTTTATTTATACATACGTATATGTATTTCTTTGATATTTCACTCCTTTTAAAATGATTTGTTAAACAATACGTCCACAACACCAATGTTTTATAACTGAGCGCTTAGAAAAGCCTGATATTAAAAGTCCTAATGTTGTTGGATGCCCACAGTACTGATAGACATGATAAAGTAGAGACCAGCTCAGTGTGTCACTGCCATCTGCTTGTGTTTGTTATAAAACCCAGATGACCAGAATAATATGTGATATTGCAATCTCCAGTAGACGGAAAAATAAGATTATTTTGAAGCTGACTGAGTTAAATAGGAGCAATAACAAACCCCACGACATGTGACTCAACGCAGACGTTTAACCTTTACAAATTCTTTATACATGCACTTGATACGAAGGGAATATTTTGTTCACCGGGGGGGATGAAATAAGACTAATGTTACACTTGAACTCGTTCGTGTCAGATTAAAAACTATGGGGTGAACGACACGATTGGATCTCATTCTAAATGTATTTGACAGCACACGATTGAACTGAAACATCTCCGTTAACTGTGCGCCTCTCAATAAGCTGTGTGAAGAGCACTGTGATTGTTAAAGAAGTTACACCATCAGTTGTCTTTCTAATTAAAGGCAAAAAAACGCTAATTGCACTAAAGAGAACGTTCTCTCTCAGTGAACTCTCAACAGCGACCGTCACACTTTGCCCACACACAAAATACAAAAACACACAGTAATATATATTTTCCTAAAGCAAAACTCTAAGCCGGAAACCAATCGGAGGGAGAAAGGATCTTTTCCCGGGCTGTCATTTATCAATTGGGTGTCAAAACAGTCTTCAAAGCACCGTGTGTGACAATAAAGCTTTTCCCAAAACCTATAGAGTCCTTTTGAGTAAGTGGCAGCGGAATGACTTAAAAGTGTTTCTTTGACAAACCACTTAGTTCTGTGATTTTTGGAGGACGAGTAATGATCCCTTCGGAGAGAGGAAACGGCGGCAGAGGGATGATAAAATAAGCGTCTGTGATTCTCAGACTGTTTTTAATAACCTGCGTAAACTCTAATAAATCAAAGAAACAATCACGCTATTCAAAAACACTTGACCTCAGTTATGCAGGCTTTCATCATTCCTTTTCCCCAAGGTGACTGTCAGTGCGGGTATTTTGGTCTTTTATGCTAATTATTAGTTATATCAAGGTTTAAGACACAACTATTTTTACTCAAAAAGTCCACTGACGTTTTTGGCGATTGAATCGCTTCATTTTATGAATTGAAAACATTCTTGAGATACATTCCGATGAACTGAAAATATCATAGTTTCACCTTCACGAAAGAGTGCTGGTTCCCGAGCTCATGTCTCAATGCTTTGCACAGTTCATGCAGTTGTTTTGTATTTAGGATGGACTTTGAACACTGCTTTAAGAGAGATGCAGCAAATATCTATAACCTTAGATAGTCGTATTGCAGTAGAGAGGATCGAGGAACAAATCTAATCCAGAACCAATAAAAAAAAAGATGCATTAACATCCGTTGTGTTGAAGGCCAGAGTATTTTATATGAGACCATAGATGTCCCTGAGCTTTACAGGATAAAATGAAGTTGACCGTGACACCCTTTACGTCCAGCATCACTGGGCAGCACGTGGAGGACATTCATATGCTGGGATTGTTTACCTTGCAGATGAATCTTGCTCTCAGGGCTCTGGAGAAGGATTGAGCTGACGGAGTCCAGATTGTCGTAGCTGCTGCATCCCAGCGGGCCCGTCCGAGTCTCCGTCACCTGCAACAGAATGGAGACTAAAATGACGCGACGACCATTTGGAGCTGACGATGGCTCTCGCTCTTTGAGAGTCAGACCTCTGCATTGCAGGTTATAGTGCTTAGAAGTGGACGCGTTTTCCTCTCGCTAGTATGTGCTACACGTTAAGACAACATATCCAAGATCCCCCCCCCCCCTCTTCCTCCACCCAATCTGAGTCATTAACAATGTCAGGCAGTAGTAGGATGTTAACATCTGCTTGTCACTGCTGCCGGTGGATGATTCCACATGTGTTAATTGCACCGAGTTCACACAATATTGCTGCAGCCCACTGACAACGAAATATTGCGCAGTGACAGAATGTCCTGCTACAGGCTTTCACACATGTAACAGCCTTCCTAATAACAGCAGTCTTTCCCACTGTTACACAACTCATACTTAAAAGGTGCAGTGTGTAGCATTAAATAGAAGAACCTTCCCGAGTAGTGTTCATGTATTTGCGCCAGCCAAATGAGTTTATTAGTTTAACTACATGATCGTCTCACGGACAAAGTTGTATAAGTAATTCTTAGGGACGCTTTAAAAAAAAACTTTTTATTTGTTAAAGAGGAATATCCTATTTCTCTTTCCATGTCCTTGTTCTGTTCCAAACAACATCCCTGAGACTATAGCAGTGGTTGTTTTTCCCCATCTGGAGACCTCTGTGGGGAAAAAAAAACAATTATGCTATTCAGTTATGAAGAGGCTGCCTTAAAACATACAGCCCCCGCATTTGAGACTTTGAAGAGATTGCGGTTGAAAAGAAACAAAATAAATGCCTCCTCCTTTCAGTGGGATCTTCATGGTAGCTCCTAATTGTACTTTTACAAGGTTCCAAAAGGCCTAAAAAGATCAGCAAATGAGATGAAGCAAGATACTTGATGAAATTTTACAAAACACCTCAAGTGTTGTTGCTTTTTTCTTTTCCTTTTAGGTCTTTGTTGAGCACAAAAATGAAAAGTGAAATGCCAATGTTAAGTAGTAGATCTGCAATTTGAACAGGCCAGAAGATATTAATGATTCAGCACAGAAATGAATGTTGTGTCTATAATAGTAAGAAGAAGATTTTTGACTAGTGGCGCATGAGCTAACGAGTGTGTGATCAGCATGAGTCTGCTGCAAATGCTGAAAGTCTCAGCAGAGAGAAATGTAGAATTAGATATACATCAAATCATTAGACGGCTTGCATGCAGTTGGAGGGCGTTAACAGGGGCCGCCGACGATGATTTTACTTGATTACTTATTTCCTTAATGTGGGCCATTAAGCTCTCAGTACATCAGATACTTGTACTTAAGGACTAAATTGGGTTCTTGAGTAAAGGATTCAGGTGACAAAAACATCACTTGGTCAGGTAAACAAAAATGTCCGAGTTGAGTAAGATGTTCGCCTCCGGTGGCCTCAGCAACGTGTGCATCCTGCACAAGTGTGTTTGCGCTTGTGTGATTTCAATTTCAATGTGTGTGCGTGTTTGTGTTAGTGTGAATGACGACGTGAAACCATTTTTCCTGTCTTTAATGTTGTTACCGTACCAGATGGTGGGTTGACAAGCAGGAAATTAGACAGATGTATATCTTACCCTTGGCATCGGAGCTGTTGGGGGGGGGGGATATCAAATCATGGGGACGTTACAATCTTAGTTTCAAGAATAAATTCAGGTGATTTTCCTCACACTTTTCCTCAGTCTGTAACATGACTGCTGTATGTACTGTGTGATATCATTTCCATTTCAGTGGTAGTATCAGTATATGACAGCGGCGCTGTTGCATTGGAGTGGCATTTAATGAAAGTAATACATTCAATACGGAGTGAAGATCACATCTGTCATTAGTATAAAAAAAATACTAGGTACCAGTGTTAATTTCATCGACGAAAATTATGACGGAAATTTTTCGTTAACGAACCTTTTTTACATGACTAAAACGAGACTGAGACTAATAAAAATTAAATCTATTCTAACTTTCGTTAACGAGACGAACATGTTGGTGGTTGACGAAGTCACAATACTTTTCCCCCCTAAATTGCAGTTTTAGACAAGTTGTAGATTAAATGTGACTAAAACTAATTACATTTTGGTCTAGTTTTCGTCGACTAAAACTAGACAAAACTAAGAAGGATTAAAATGACTAAATGTGACTAAAACTAATATGCATTTTTCGTCTAAAGACTAAGACTAAATCAAAAATAGCTGCCAAAATTAACACTGCTAGGTACTAAAGTACCACAATTCTTTAAAGTTAAGCCATTTTGGTTTCAATAAAATACCTTATAAGCACAAACAGGTATATGAAAAAGATCTTTTTTGACATTAATGATTATTACACTGTATTTTTCACTGGATACACTCTCCATGTTGCCTACTATGTGGATTTCCAGCCAAGCAATGGGCTTTGCAAGGCACTGCACGGCCTTGCATAAAGTGCAGATTGATTACAGCGCTAGACTTGCCAATCACACTCAACCATCTTGATGGCTGCTGACGGGGCCTTTTCCCTTCCGTTTTTGTTTGTGCTTATCTTCAAATGAATTACTTTCCTTCCAAAGATTGTGTTGCATGATCCATGGGGACGGAGACAAGTGACTATCTGTCCTCTGACACCGTCGGACATTTTCCCAGGTGGCAAAGCAGGCGTCCTCACGACCTGCAACATCGGTTGCGCACAAATCACGCACTCAAACGAATGTGCATGAAAACGAGTGCAGTTTACCACAGCCAGTTTACCATACGGTCATTTTCTTTCTCCAAGAATTTTTATTCCAAGTCGGGAGCAGTCGTCCCTGGCTTTGTGGATTAGAGATTGACCCTTGTAATCTGAATGACTTTAGGAGGGCAGTATGCGGCGCTTGTTCGGTTCTTTCTTTTCCTTCATTCCAGCACGCGCCATAAGAGTGCCGCGCACCAGATTATGAAAATGGAGTATAACGCAATAAAAATACAAGGAGCAATCAAAGGGACTGAAGTGGGCCGAGGGGGATTTAGAGGATTTGGATTATTAAACAGAACATAACAGTGGACTCCCAGTGGGGCCAAAACTGTATCACAGCCCTCAGTCAGAAACCACGGTTCTGGAACATCCGCTCTAATTGTCATCTGTCATCAAGAAAATCATCTAAGCAAGTAAATGAGAGAGGATGCACATGGGATCATGCATTTATTCTGTTTCTATAAAATGTACGTTTAGTTTTCCCCAAGCGCCAAATGTTGTAAATATAAGTTTGTCCTTTTTTGGGGATAATTTCTTTGTTTTTCAAAGAGCAAAATTCCCCCCTGGTGAAGTGCAGTGCAGCTGCAGTGTATCAGTGGTGTGTAGGTGGGTTATGTGGGTTTTGGACATATGTTTGTTTGTGTTCAGACACGCAATTATATCACTTCTTTCTTGTCACACTAAAATGAACGATACATATATGAGCTTGTCTCTCACTGTTACATACATAATCTGCTGTAGGTATTAAGACCTCAAGCATATTATACACTTTCCTCAAGCAAGGCTCTCATTATACATATCCTATAATTAGAGTAAAGATGTTTATTACTTCAATGGATCTGAAGCGGCTCGGTTGATCTAGACTCATTAGGAATCCTTGGCAAGCGCCGCATTCACTGCAGAGTATACTGCGTTTATCTAACAATTGATGCCAAGCCAGTCCATGCGTTTCAGCACACAGGTTCCATTCACTTCTATGGTTGACCTTTAGGATGCACCTGCCTGTGCCAAACAGGCAATTAAAAATCTCATTAGTATCCTGGATTTTTGACAATTTATAGCTCCTCAAATGGAGAGTTTGGAATTGTCAGCAGCCAACATAGGAGGCCGAGGTCAACTTAAGACAGAGAAATCCCAGGCTGTTGTTACACATGTGACATGCAAATATTTCAACAGAATTTAAAGAATGGACTCAAACCATCTTGGCGCACTGGGAATCATCAGGGATATCTGTAATCCTTTCAAAACACAACACATAACACAAATGCCTAAATGCCTAATTAAAATGAATTAATCAAAATATAATTTACTCAACTTCCAAATTACTGCATTTCATGGTGTTCTTATGCACATTTGCATATCTGTAACCGCATGTATCGATAGAACATTCTGTAATATATACCAATTTAAAATTATACTATACTAGACTATAATACTATATTTTAAAATCAAAAGGCTCTCAATTTATACAAACCAAAGTATTAGCTTTATATTAGCACTGCATTCCTGTGAGAATGGAGAATGGTATGCATTAGAAATCCCACTTTGAATCGATTGTCTCAGTTGTGCAATAAAATCCCTTTTCACCAAGTTCATTAAAAAAAAAACAGCATATTGAGCCCTCGTTATTTCTCTAATTCCGGCAACTTGTGATAGCAGTGTTTCCTCACTCCTGATTTTAAACCATACCGAGAGGAGTATTCTGTATTTCTCAGCAAGCAAACCTCACATTACACCGTGTCCCAAAGTTGCGTTTCAACTTGAAAGACCGAAAAGAATAAAAAGGTGGTGGGAAGCATGTGACATAAGGAAAACAATGAATGAAGGCAATAAAACGTATGAGTGGGACGGGGAAAAATACCGTAAGGATGAACTGTCTTCATTACACGTTGCCTCTGCTGAGCCCTCTTGATACGCCCATCACCTGCCATTCTCTTAATGACTTGCTATTTCTGGATACGTAGAAATGAAGAGAGGTACTCCTTAGTAATTCTCAAAGCCTGATAGTGGGACATCTCTGAGGACGTTTTTTTCTGCCTTGTTCATATCCTATATATGGCTACAGTGTTACTGTAAGTCACAGTAGAACAAAATCAAGGCAACCCTACTCAAGGAACATATTTAACAGCTCATTGCTGTGATATTTCTGTGGCCCTCCTTGTAAATCAGCGTTATTTAGATGTGTGAACGTGTCTGCGAAAGCCACGTCCTGTGTAACTTTGTTATGAATGATAATGAAAGAAAGTGTAACTTTTGGGGCTAATAACTCAAATGCAAAA